TGTAGATCATCATATCTGGCAGGGAAAACTTTTTAAAGTTGAAAAGGCTTTAAAAGTCTATTCACCCCCCCCTAGACTTTTACCTCTATCCGGGACCATCACGGCGGTATGGCATTACCGCAGCTATTAGCGCGAAAGAAAACGGTTTATTATTGCGGACTTCTTGAAGAGAAAATGGGGTTGTAGGATAATGCATTAATGTCCTATCGTGGCTGAAGAGATTTAATCTTGATCGTGGGTTGATCCACTTGTTTGATCCACTTGAGTGAAAGGCAACATGGTTGATTTTTGTCCTTTTGTGTCATGAGTTGTGACTTTGTACAAGTTGTATTCCTCATTTCAAAGTATATGGCTGTAGGATAATGCATTAATCTTTAGTCGTAGATTGGATATAAAGGTTCGTTTCTTGTTTGTTCAATGCTTCCGTATATAGACTCCAGCCTTTTAGTGCAAAAATAATGTTATAAGTTAATTACTTATAAAAATTACTTTTGTCCTATCTTTTTATTTTTCAGTTGACTGCATGCTTGACTATTTGTTGTGCTTTTGATTTTGCTATGTAGAGAAGAATAAAGATTTCAGTGACCTGGTCTAGAAAATACAAGTTAGTAGCTAGCTGATTTTTCTGAGACAAAATTGGTAGGCAACTGGTTTTATATTTTTAGGAGGCTGCCGATTTTGAAGGGATTCAGTTGACTCTTTTTCGTACCTCTATTCTTTTTTATTCTTTTCTTTGATTTGGTACGCTCTTCTTTTCTCTTCTCTTTTTAGTACTCTCCTTATTTTGTTTTTCCTTTGTTTGTCCTAAGTACTTTCTCTTTTTCAACACATATAGTAGCACACTATAACAAACAAAAATAAAGGTACAGATCAAGTGATCTTTAGTCTAATACAGGATAGGGGGTGGCATCATCAAAATCTAGGGGACCTAACAGTAACCGTACTACCACAAATCAGCCTCAACTGACTACACGAATGGCTCTAACCCGAGATGAACCGTGAGGGTTATCACCCCCCTCCCCCCGACTCGATAATATCTCCCGTATAACCTGACACTGGGGTTTTGACTGGTTTCAAATCTTCTTTCTGTTGGCCTATCTCCAGGTACTTATTTAGGTAGTGGATATTCATTTAACTTCCATTATCTAGTAAGACTTCGTGAACAATTGTGTCCATAATCTTCATTTTCACCACCAGGGCATCCCATGTGGGGGAGGACAAGGTGGTAACTCATCATCGGTAAAAATAACAGTGTCCCGCTTATGCTCCTTGGCTGCTGGGAAACGGTTGATCTCTCCGATGAACAGTTAATGACTCCACTTTTTTTCTTTCCCCAACGGTATCTCCCCCCACCGTCCATTGTATATCTGGTTGACGTGGGAGCATTTCTGTCGGACTCCTCCCCTTCGTCATCGCTCTCGAACTGGCCTCCGACCTCCCTCTTTTTAGAGGTTGAGACTTGAGACATGCTCGTCTTTGCCCTTGATCCAGATGCTTTTCTTTTGAGGGGATGTCCCCTGCCAGTTCTTTTTCATAAATTGTTCCAACTGTCCATTTTGGGTGAGCCTCTCGACATACTTTTTCAAAACATAACACTCGTCAGTTTCATGAGTGTCGCTCTTGTGCAGTTTGCAATATTTTTGCAGGTAGCCTGACTGTTGATAATGTAAGAGGTGTCGGGAAACATTACCAAGCCCTGCTTTGCCGCATAATCCAGGACTGCTAGTCAGATGTGTCAATGCGGAAAACTTTGACTGACTGGATAAAGGCCCGTCATGTGCCCCTGACTTGCCTTTGTTCCAACCTTTCTTCTTTCTTTTGAACTTGTTTCCCTGGTCCTGATCGTGGGTTTCCTTTTAAGTATTTTTCTTCTTTCCATCATTATCTTGATGCTTTCCATCTTCTTCCTCTCTCTTCCTCTTTTCTGCCTCTTCCACTACTGCTTGCAGGTCAGCTTGTCGAGGGGCTTCCTCATGGGAGGTCGGGGGTTGTCGTACGAACTCCTTGTGCAATTCACCCAACCTCAAAGCGTTAGTAAAAATCGTTACGGCTGCTTTGTCGTCTAGGCTGTCAACTTTCACAGATTCATCCCTCCAACGAGTCAGGAAGGCGTTCAAGGTCTCCTGGCGTCCCTGTTTGACCTCTAGGAGGTGAGACAAGTTCTTCTTTGAATCCTTTAAAGTGGAAAATCGTGAATAAAGTCCTGGGCTAGTTCCTGAAAATTTTGTATCCTCCCTTCGGGTAAGGAGTCATACCATTCTCGGGCTGGCCCATCTAGAGTCACGGAGAACCCTCGGCGTCTGATTGCGTCATCATACCCAATCATCACCATGTAGGCCATGTACCTAGAGACATGGTGTTGGGGGTCGGTCTTTCCTTGATATGTATGCCTCAATGTTGCAAGGCTTGTACTTCCTGAGGCAGTGGGGCATCCATAATTCGCCGGATGATGGCTCGGGAATCCTCAATCATGGGTAGGGTTGGCCCCGCCATCCACCACTCTTGTTAGATCGTCAAGGCACCTCATGAGATCATCCACATCTTTGACGGCCTGGCTGCAGGGCTGAGGGGTACGGTCTCATCGAGCTCGCCGATGTCTGAGGACCTCATGTCTGGGATCCCCCTCATGCGCACTGCGATGGTGGGAAGAAATGGTTGCAAAGGATGCTTCCTCGCTTCTCTCTACTCTAGAAGAGAGAATGTCATGCATAAAGGCTCTTTTTTCCTCGATACGGTCCATCACCAATGCCCTTATTGGAGGTGAATTCCCTTGGCGGTGCACAGACACCGCCTTCACTTTCTCTCCATGTGGTACATACGACACACGATTGGGAGATGTTGCCTCTCATCCGGATTGGGAACGATTCCTTGGAAGGTCATGGTTAAGGTTTCCACAATCAACTGAAAAGTCGCCAAAGTTGCCAAAGCTTGTGCGTGATCCACATCGGGAACGAGATTCCCGGTCGCCGACATTCGGAACTGCGATGGACGAGTCGTGGGGTGCCTGGAACTCCCCATGCAATGCAAACAATTTCTCAATTCGCTTGGGGTCAACACGTTGTCATTCCTCCTTCAGAAATTGTTGCACCGTGAACAAAATCTTTCATCCTCAATCACAACTTGGTCCATTCTAGCATCACCTTGGTTACTGCCAGCACGGTTGTGACTATGTGATCCAACCATTGTGTTCATCGTAAATCGGTTCTCAAAGAGTACCAAATGATGGAGTTTAATTCCAACTACGAGATCTGATGTACAAGGCAGTTTTATTATTTAGGAGGTGTAATTACAGTAGCCTACAGTAGATAAGGAAATTACATGAAGTATCTATAGACATAGGGCTGTAGTAGCCTAAGGAGATATAATCGGTACATTTAATAGTCCAATCATGATCGGACTCTTCTAACGTATCTCATTACTCCACAATTATTATCTATGTCCACGTTTCTTCAGTTAAATCTATGTCGTTGCCAGATAGCTATACACAATAGATAGCCTGCCACGTAAGCTCTAGGGTGAGTATGACCTCCTAGAATCCCACCCAGGCTCGAGGTCTGCTGTTCAGGCTGACCTAATTGTGGGTTTGTGGCTTCCTTTCGCAGATCACAGCCTCCTATTTGGCCCAACGAGTCTTATTAACTAATCCCGATTAATGGGCTTGGTCCATTGATCCTGTATAATGGGCTTTGCGTATGTTCCGCACTTGGACCATGGTCACGATCCATGGTACCATAAAAAATGATAATCAATGTTGGTATGTTTACTGTGAGCATGCTGAACAGAATTTGCCAACAAATAGGAAGTAGAAACAATATCACGCAATAACTGAACAGTCGTGCAAATGGAGATAAGGAAAGGAAAAAGACGATCAATGTGGTAAACCAACTGAGGATAAGGAAAAATATTTTCATGAAAATGCACATAATGAATGATACTCCCTCCATCCCGCTAGAAGGTTCCCGTGAACGGTTTACGATGATTGACTGACGATAAAGCAACTTAATCCCTGTTCACACTCTGATTATTTTTAGTAAATAAAATTAACATATTCAGAAACTACATTAAAACCGCTGCAATGCCTGATAAAAAAATATAAATTTGGTAAAAATTTGATTTATAAAGTAAAAGATTAAAAATGATTTAAGTTTACCATGAGAATAGTGGACGGGAACCTTCTAATGGGACGGAGGGAGTATAAATTTTGCGAGTTGAACCATCAAAGGAACGTCAAAGCCCTATATTCAGATGCATAACCTTTGAAAACACATTGAATAGATTGAAGAGAAACTTATACATTGAAGTGGCGTTAAAATAGATAGCACACACATTCAAGCGCGCACACACACAAATATCACGTGGGTGATGAAAATTAGGAGAAGATCCGTGTAAAATAGGAGTGTGAATAATTGATAATGAAAATAGCTCTAAAAATAGTTTTCACCCAAAAAATAGAGGGCAAACTAGCATCAAGAACCATAACTCATGCTAATTTTAGGAGATTACGATGTTTGGGTTCAACAACACCATTTTATTGTGGTGTTTCTGGACAAGATTTCAAAACAAAATTCCACTTTGAAGCAAAAATTTACACATACCAGTATTATCAAATTAACCGTCTTCATCACTCTAAAAAAATTAAGTTTAGAGATGGGCAATTTTTTCAGCATGAGTTTAAAACACATAAAATGAGTAAAAACTCCATTTTTATGGCGGATGAGATATAACTAGGGATGGATTCGGGCCGGGTCGGGCCCGGGCCGGGCCTAGGCCCGGTCAGGCCGCCGGTTCGTATCACATGGGTCTGGGACCGGCCCGAGGGTTGGACGGGTCCGGTTCGGGCCGGGCCACCCGCCCGGGTCCCGGGTCGGGCCACCCGCCGGGCCGGGCCGGGCCGGGCCGGTTAAATATTTTTTTTTTTTAATTTATATTTTATACTTTATAGTTTTATACAAGTATTAAAAAACAAACTTCAAGTGCATTTATTTGAAATGAAATATGAACTACATTTGAAAATTAAATAGGAACTATAATTGTTTTTAATCGGAATCTCCGGCATAGGTAGAGCCACCCTCTGTTGTAGATTCATCCATAAAGTGTTGGGATGGAGTGATGTCAATTTCTTGAGCTCTACGTGCTGCTTTCAACCAATCGTGGTAGCATATAAGCATCTCAAGAGATTCAGCGCTCAACCTCGTTCTGGATTGTGTTAGAACATTGTCGGCCGAACTAAATTCTTGTTCCACGACAACCGTTGAAACCGGCATTGATAGCACTTGCTTAGTCATCTTTGCTAAAACCGGGAACATTCTTTCTTTTCCCTTCCACCAGTTTAGTACGTCAAAATCATCATCTTCTTCAAAATCAACATCATAAGTTAAATACAACGAAATCTCATTAATTGTGCTTTGTTGTGTAGCGGGAGTTGATTTTGTTTTTTTAATAAGATTGGCAAACGTAGATTTGAAAATTGATTTTCCTTTAGATGATGTTTGTGTCGGGGGAGGGGGCGCATTGCCATATTGTGCATGAAACTCATTGAATAATGCATAAAATATATCACTAACCTCATTGTATTCTTTTTTCGGATCAATTGGGTTGTCCTCATACATTGGCAATGGACCAAAAAAAGCAGCATAATAATAATTCAAACATTCTTCTAAAGAACCAAGTCTAAAACGAGGATCGAGAACAAATGCAATACCATAAATATGCGGAATATGTGAATAATATTTTAAAAACTTTTCCTTCATAAAACCAGCAAAATAACTCTCATAATCAGCATTCTCAAAATTTGAAAAAGCACCGGCGAGATTAACAGCTTCACGAATAAATAGGTTTGAGGTAGGTTTATAAACATGACTAAAAGTTTCAGTTGCATTATTAAAATATATCAAAGCATTACAAATTTTTTCACAGGTGTCGATCTCAGCCGAGTTTATAATATAGTTATCATATTGTTTCATAAAAGCAGGAAAATGTTGTTTATATCTAAGAAAACTCCAATTAACTTATAGGTACTATTCCAACGAATAGACAAATCTTTTGGAAAAGCCACATATCTCTCACCTCTTTCTATCAAATAATCATGCCATTTTTTCCTAAGTTGTCCATTACCCCAAATACGTCTAATCCCCCCCCCCCCCCCCCTTGACTACCTCCAACGATGCTCCCAACGCTTTTAGACCATCTTGCACACATAAATTTAGAACATGACATGCACATCGTTGATGAAAAAATCTACCCATCAAAGAAGTAGAACCACACAATTCACGCAATCTAGGAATAGCAGCAGTATTATTAGTAGCATTATCAAAACCAATAGCAAACACCTTATCAATTAAATTATACTCAATTAAAATACGTTCAATCAAAATATAAATATGTTCAGCGGTGTGACGATCATTAAATTCACGGAAAGCAAGAACACGTTTATGCATATGCCAATCATTATCAATATAATGTACAGTCAGACCCAAATAATGTAAATTATGATAAGTATCCTCCCATATGTCAGAACATACAGTAACACGTCCATCAAAGTTTGCAAAATAATTTTGTAACCTTACCTTTTCCGCACCATAAAGCCTTGAAATTTCTTTCTTAACCGTTTTGCGACTATAACCTCTATATTGCGGATTTAAACAAGTTTGTGCATAATCACGAAAAACAAGACTTTCAGAAAACAAATAAGGCAAATTTTCTTCAACAAGTAAGTTAGCCATACCTGTCAAATTTTGTGCATCATTGTATGAGAAATTACCAAAAGCTTGTTGGTTATTTGCAAACCTCGATATTTGCGTTTGCTTCCCCGTTCCGCCGCCTAATTTTGCATACTCCACCGGGTGTTTGGACTTAAGGTGTCTTGTGGCGGATCCGTATCCGCCGCAAATCCCCAAGCTATAGTTTTTCTTGCACCAATTGCAAGTTGCGGTCCAATTCCCAGTGTTCGGGTCCTTCCACTTAGAAAAATTATTAGCCATTAGGTCAGATTTACTTTTTTTGTACCCGTTTGGTATGAGGCTGGTTGGTCGGCGTCATGGCTGCCGCCACCCTCCTCCTCCTCCTCGTCGCGGCTCTCCGGAATTGCTTCCTCCACATCGTCGTCCTCATCCTCGAGCTCTTCTTCGTCAATGGTCCTCGGTTGGTCTTGAAAAAAGCGGGAATTATGTCGGTGCAATTCTTGTTCTAGTTGTTCGTCGGTCATCGCGTCCCCATCCCTCCTTACGTAACCCGTATCAAAATCATCTCGACTTTGAGATGAAGAGCCGATATGTGATTTACCTTTGCGGGATCTCTTCCTCGCAAGCTCTTTCGTTCGGTTGCGCTCGAGGTTACCCATATCAACCGAATATCTAGGACGATCCATCTAAAAAATGTAGCGATTAATAAAAAATTGTAAAAAACTAATTAACTATTTATGTAACTATTAATTCGAGTTATAGCAAATTAAGTAGTGAATTAACTAGTTTTGTGTACAACATATTTTTTAAACTAGAGTCAAATGTAGCGATTAATAAAAAATTGTAAAAAACTAATTAACTATTTATGTAACTATTAATTCGAGTTATAGCAAATTAAGTAGTGAATTAACTAGTTTTGTGTACAACATATTTTTTAAACTAGAGTCAAATGTAGCAATTAATAAAAAATTGTAAAAAACTAATTAACTATTTATGTAACTATTAATTCGAGTTCTAGCAAATTAAGTAGTGAATTAACTAGTTTTGTGTACAACATATTTTTTAAACTAGAGTCAAATGTAGCGATTAATAAAAAATTGTAAAAAACTAATTAACTATTTATGTAACTATTAATTCGAGTTATAGCAAATTAAGTAGTGAATTAACTAGTTTTGTGTACAACATATTTTTTAAACTAGAGTCAAATGTAGCAATTAATAAAAAATTGTAAAAAACTAATTAACTATTTATGTAACTATTAATTCGAGTTCTAGCAAATTAAGTAGTGAATTAACTAGTTTTGTGTACAACATATTTTTTAAACTAGAGTCAAATGTAGCGATTAATAAAAAATTGTAAAAAACTAATTAACTATTTATGTAACTATTAATTCGAGTTATAGCAAATTAAGTAGTGAATTAACTAGTTCTGTGTACAACATATTTTTTAAACTAGAGTAAAATGTAGCAATTAATAAAAAATTGTAAAAAACTAATTAACTATTTATGTAACTATTAATTCGAGTTATAGCAAATTAAGTAGTGAATTAACTAGTTTTGTGTACAACATATTTTTTAAACTAGAGTCAAATGTAGCAATTAATAAAAAATTGTAAAAAACTAATTAACTATTTATGTAACTATTAATTCGAGTTATAGCAAATTAAGTAGTGAATTAACTAGTTTTGTGTACAACATGTTTTTTAAACTAGAGTCAAATGTAGCAATTAATAAAAAATTGTAAAAAACTAATTAACTATTTATCTAACTATTAATTCGAGTTATAGCAAATGAAGTAGTGAATTAACTAGTTTTGTGTACAACATATTTTTTAAACTAGAGTCAAATGTAGCAATTAATAAAAAATTGTAAAAAACTAATTAACTATTTATCTAACTATTAATTCGAGTTATAGCAAATTAAGTAGTGAATTAACTAGTTTTGTGTACAACATATTTTTTAAACTAGAGTCAAATGTAGCAATTAATCAAAAATTGTAAAAAACTAATTAACTATTTATCTAACTATTAAACAAGAGTTATAGCAAATTAAGTAGTGAATTAACTTGTTTTGTGTACAACATATTTTTTAAACTAGAGTCAAATGTAGCAATTAATAAAAAATTGTAAAAAACTAATTAACTATTTATCTAACTATTAATTCGAGTTATAGCAAATTAAGTAGTGAATTAACTAGTTTTGTGTACAACATATTTTTTAAACTAGAGTCAAATGTAGCAATTAATAAAAAATTGTAAAAAACTAATTAACTATTTATCTAACTATTAAACAAGATTCAAATGTAGCAAATTAACTAGTAATTAAACAAGTGTAAATAATAGAATAATTTCGTACCTCTTTCGGACTTTCGGTCTTTCGGATGGGAGTAATAGAATGACTTCAAATTAATTAGATATAATTCCAACTATATTAATAGATATAATAAATATATAAGTAATATATAATTAGATAACAAATATAAGTAATATAATACTATTTATATCTATTTATAGTTTATATAAGTAGATAATTAATATAAAGTTATAAACTATAAATAATAAATATAATATATTGGAGAATGGAGAATAAGAGAATTAGAGAGTAGAGAGTTAAGAATAGGATTTAGGAAGAATTGGAGAAGAGATGAAAAAATGTTTAAGATTGGGAGTATTTATAGGGTTTTTTACCCCCCACCCCCCACCACCACCCAACCCCCCGGACCCCCCCTTTACCCCACCCAACGGCTATATAGCCGTTTGGGTTGTCCCCAGCCCCACCCCCAACGGCTAGTAGCCCACTAGCCAAGAGCCCAAAAAAAAAAAATTTTTTTAAATTAAGACCGGACCCGGGTCACATTAATCCAGCACCGAGCCCGCCCCGCCCATTCCCACCGGTTCAGGTCCATACCCGGTCCCGGGCCCGCACAGTACCGGGCCGGGCCGGGTCACGGGCCGGGTGGCCCGAATCAAATCCAACCCTAGATATAACCAAGTAAAACGGGAAACATTATCAATAATATATATACACTATATTTAAATCCTAAATGAGATTAAATTGGAGATTGTAAATTGTAATACATCAAAATGAATTGAAAGCAACGATTGAGAAAAGTAATTTTTGTGATTTGCCTTAATGGCAATATATACAATCATGAAAGAGGTACTAGTTCCATTTTTTAAAAAACATGCTAAAATATGAGTCCCAGAGTGTCCCAAATAAATATGCCACTGTACCATAAGCATTCTCAAGGCAAGAGGAGAAGGATGAAAGAATGATTGGTTAAATACCACGGATATTGGAAGCTCACAGAAGCACCTCCCTCGCTCCCCATGGTGATATACGGTTCCGGTGAGAAAAAAGAACGATCCAAAACGATGGCGGCGGCAGTGGAGGAGGGGGCGGTGGTGGAGGCAGCTGGCAGCAGAAGGATGTGGGCGGTGGTAGTTGTAGTGGCGGTGTACCATTTCAATTCCAAGCAGTCTGTGGATTCCGAATTCATTGGATCCATTACAAGCAAAATGTACATTCAAGCATTAACAAATTTAGCGAGCAATGTGTTACGGTTTAACTCATTCAACTAGTCAAGGGGAGTTTCTGGTATTCACGTATTGACAAACTTAGCGAGCAATGTGCTACGATTTAACTCATTCAACTAGTCAAGGGGCGTTTGTAGTCAATTTGATTGCCTAAAAGGGATCTCTAGATCCTTTGGTCAATGCTCCATTTAACTTTCATCTTTTACAGAGAAACACAAGTACAGGTGCTAGAGGTCTGTTTAACATTTGGAGTTTGCAACAATTCCAACTTTGGAATGGTAATCTGGAAGTCAGTTCTTCGATCTTGTCAAATTCCTCCCTGTGGAATACAATGTAAAGCACCGTTAGAATTTCACAAAAAAACTTCATTAAACAACTAAAAGTAGCTTTCAAATATACTGAATTACTAAGTACAAAAACGGACGATGTATTACACAATATAATGCAAGATACGAGGGCATGACTAGCAGGTAAAAGTATTTAGTAGTTGTGGGTAGCAGCGTATTATTTTTTCATAATAATACAGTACTAACAGTAGTCTCATAGGATTTAATAACTTGGATATCCTATCATTTTATTAGTCTGAGAATGTTTTTTCAGAAGATTAATGGGGAGAATGTTTTTGTATATAGACTTCACTGTGTCCTTGTATAAGACAGTTTTTTCAGAAGATTAATGGGGAGAATGTTTTTCAGAAAGAAAACCTTTGGGGCGGGAAATCCTAATTTTCTGTCAATTCTTGGCCTGTTACATTCTTAAAAAGATGACTGAACTTTACTGCATTGCCTTAGGGTTATGAGTGAATTACAAAAAAGAGGGGCGAAAAAACAAGATGTAATTATAGACAAGTCATTTTTACCTTCCTCCAGAGTGGCCAACATAAGCCACTATACTGATGAGTCCTCCAGGTACTAGAATTTCCTTTGCAGCCTCTATTGCAAGTAATGTACTTTCTGACTTGGTAATAATCTTTTTGTCCGCACCTGGTAAGTAGCCTAAATTGAAAGCAACTAACCTGAAACAAGAAATGATGATTGAAGTATTTATCGCAATAATGAGGGGGGGGGGGGGCAATAAACGACGACGTAAAATTCAAGGGACCTCTCGTCCTCCTGTATTAAGTCTATATCCAATTTTTTATAATATCATTAGCATTAGCGAAAAAACAATACCTTACTTTCACGCCATCTGGAATCACATCTCCCATGCGACTATGACACATGGAAAATAGCTCAACAAGCTCTTTCTGCATAGCACATTCCCCATTTAAGAAATAAAATAAGAAGAAATGATTTTCGTGATAGGGATCCGGACACTACTAATAATAAGAGTCTTATCATGTACGGAGTATTTTAATATTGTTCAATAATAGGGTTCTAGGCCCAGTAACTTAGTTGAGGGCCAGCCCTTTAGGAGAGTGTTATTATAAGAACGGGTAGGGGGGAGAAGGGGGCAGAAAATTAGTCAGGACTGGGAATTGGGAGAGCGAGACCTCTGAGTCTCAAACTGTTTTTCTTCTTTACCGTTTCAGTATTTTCTTCTCAACCCACATCTACTTTTCTTTTTACTCTTCTGGTTCTTATCATTTGGTATCAGAGCGAGTGACGATCGCTATACCTGCGCATGGTCTTTACTCGACCGAGAATTGAGCAACGTGTCGAAAACCTAGAACACACCTTAGCGGAAGTAAAAACTGCCGTGAACGAACTGCTTGGCTTGCACGAGACGGTGACTGAACTGAAGAATCTGATGTTACACGTAATCGGCATAGGAGAAGAGGATGGTCGCGTGTGTCTAAACATCATCGCTGGGAGGAAAATGTGAACTCGTCGCCTACCAGAGATCGTTCTAACAGTTCTCACGCTTCGTCCTTTACTCCGGAACCTACAGTAAATAGGTGTTATGCTCGCACTGGAAGGAAAGTTGACATACCTGTTTTTAACTGGGAAGATGCACATGGGTGGATCATTAGGGTGGAAAGGTTTTTCCGGTTGGATCAAGTTAAGGAGACTGAGAAAATAGAGATGGTGGTAGTGGCAATGGAGGAGAAAGCTTTAAACTGGTACCAATGGTGGGAGGAACAGACCAATGAACGTTCCGGGGAAAATTTTAAGAAAGCTGTGATTCGACGGTTCCAACCGAGGATGGTGAAAAATCCCTCCGGTCCTATTCTTAGTGTGAAGCAGATAGGATCAGTCATGGACTATCAGGATAAATTCGAAGCTGGTCGTAGCCCCCCAACCCTGAAGCATTTAATATGAAATGCTTAAAGGCATTTTTATCAATGGCCTAAGATCAAAGCAGAACTCAAATTGTATCCTGCACAGAGTTTGACCGAAGTAATGGACCTTGCTCTATTACTGGAAGAAAAGAATGCGGCTCTTAGAATAAGAGGAAGCAAGGATGGAGACAAGGGAGTATAGAAAGAAAAAGAGGGGCTATATCCAAGCCTCAACAGTGGATAGAAGGGAACTGGTGGAGACATAACCAAAATAATACCAGACTCGCTCAGAAAGTTTCGACCAATATTAAAACAAGGGAAGCACCAAAGCTGAACCAAACATGGGAGGGAGGCCAAAGGTTGTCACAAGCAGAGCTAGAAGAAAGAAGTAGAAAGGGCCCATGTTTCAAATGTGGAGACAAATAGGGTAAAGAACATGTTTGTGGAATGAAACATTATCAATTTGTCCTTATGGAAGGTCTAGAAGAGGAGAAAGGATCAGATGCACAGCTGTCTGAACTGGATGTAGCAGAAATTCCCTTGAAGCCAAATGCCAGAAAAGTTTCTCATCATCCACCACCTTGAGGGGGGAGTAATGATAGGGATCCAGACACTACTAATAATAATAGTGTCCCTTTAACTTAGTTGAGAGCCGGCCCTTTAAGAGAGTGTTATTATAAGAACGGGTAGGGGGAGAATAAGGGGGGCAGATAATTAGTTGGAACTAGGAATTGGGAGAGCGAGACCTCTCGAAGAGTCTCAAACTGTTTTTCTTCTTTACCGTTTCAATATTTTCTTCTCAATCGACATCTATTTTTCTTTTTACTATTCTGGTTCTTATCATTTCCATGCTATCATGTTGAACCCCACCAAACTTTTTTAAAGTGAAAAGCGTCCAAAAGCGATGACCTTGAGCTTTGCTTAAAAGCGAAAGCGCTAAGCGAAGCCTAACTTTCTCACAAAAAGTGATGCTTATAAAAAATAAAAAATAAAAATATAATATATAATGTATAATTAAGCCAAAAATGCACAAGTAGTCAAAAAAAGTCATTAAGAATAATACTAGTGCGGCAAAAAGTGACAAAACATTCATCACACAGTTATGCAAAAACGTAATTGTATTAAAAGTCATAATTAATTAATCTCGAATAAGCTGAAAGGGATGAACTCGAATAAACTAAAAATTAATTAATGAATAAACTGAAAGGAATGAAACTGGAAAAAACTAAAAATTAATTAACCAATAAACTGAAAGGAATAAACTGGAACAAACTAAAAATTAATTAAACAATAAACTGAAAGGAATAAACTGGAATAAACTTAAAATTAATTCATCAATAAACAGAAAGGAATAAACTGGAATAAAGTCAATAAACTAAAAACTAATTACTGAATAAACTGAAAGGAATTAACTGGAATTTAATTTAGTGGAATAAACTGGAATTCAAACCTTAATCAAGTAACTAGTCCTCTGTGATAAGGCTGAAAGGTGTTTCAAACAAAAAAAAAAACAGTAAAATGCTGAAGAGCTAGCTATTCTCTGTAACAAGACTGAAAGTTTTCAAACTAAAAGAACAGAGTAAAGCTGAAGAGTGACGAACGATGTTTACACTTTGGATGAAAGAGAATGTGTGGCTCACAGGCGAGTTGGAGAGTTCTAGCCGAACAAAAGTCTGGGCGAACTCCAAACCTGCAGCTTCTTCACCTGCAACTTCTTCACCTGTGGCATTGTTTGGTGCGTGGAAAGTCGAACTAATATAACCCTAATCTCTAGTGTGAAGCAGATAACACTTGAAACTTGAAAAAAAAAAGTTGACCAAACAAATGACCGCTTTTTCTGAAAAGCTCTGAAAAGCGGTCGCTTAATTGAAAAGCGAGCTCACGAAAAGCGAAGGAAAAGTGGAGATTTCTCACGGCGAGTCGCTTCCCAAAAGCCAGGCGGGGAACCGGCGCTCGCCTGCGCTTTGGGGCTTAAGCGCGCTTTGGGGCTTAAGCGCGCTTTTGAGCGCTTTTAACAAGTTTGAACCCCACCATTGGTGCTCTAGGTAAATAATCAAGAATTATGAACTTTCAAGAAAGGATCGATTCATGTTAGCCAGCCCTAAAATCTTTTGGGAATATGGCTTGGATGTCGTTGTTGTTGTAAGAACTTTCAAGAAAACACCATAAAGTTCTCTCACTAGTGTCATCAGAATCATGCAATTGAGGAACTAAATCGTATAAAAAAGATGCTTATAGCATCTCACATAATAAAAAAGGATACAGCATGAGAGAATGAGATAGCATTTTACATCATGGGGGTTAACAGAGCGGTCTAATAAAAGCGAAGTATTTTCCAAAGCAACTTTCTGGATATCCATTCCATACACACGACCCTTCTGTGTGTGATCAGCAACCATTTTCAATAATGCCAGAGTATCATAACCATTTCCACATGTGGCATCAATAACAATGTCCCCTTTCTTAACAATATCCATCCATACCCTGCAAAAAATATTTATATATTATGAATAAGAAAAGAAAAATTGGCTCACTAATTGCAATGAATCCAAAGACTCACTATTTTTTGGCTTGAGAATATGATGGAATAAAGCAAAATGGCTCACTAAACTGTTTGCAATTCTTTGTTATGAAGCTGCCGTTAGTCCATGTAATTTTCGAAGTGATTTTCACTATGAGTTATTTGGAAACGGTCTCTGTGTGCTTTTAGTACAGGGGCAAGACTGTGTACATCCGGCACTGGGGTAACGATGATGATGATATGATTATTATGAATAAGAAAAGCAAGGCAATAGGTACATCATTAGACATGATGCAGATATTGTACTATACTGCTAACTCTGCTAATTTTAGGAAATTACTAGTTGCTGATTGACTGAGCAGTTACTATAATACTCCTTTGGGCTTCAAAAATCATCCTGTAGGACAGAATTGTGGTTTTGAAGTGATAACTAATTTTGTTATCAATGGACAACTATACCATATTAATTTCAGCTAAAGTATGCATAAATGGACAAGTATAGCATATTAATTAAAGTGAATTGCGAAATTCAAATAACATGGGAGGGCAAATTGGTGATTTGATTATGGTTTGCGTAAATGGGTTGCCAGAATGGCTTTACTATTGAAGAACGGAGTGGAGTATTAATTAAAGTATAGAGTGGTTACAAGTTCAGGCAACCGAACAGAATGAATGCCATAGTACTGAAGTGGGAAGATGATACTCGGTAATTGAGAGTTGGAAGTTAAAGAAGGGAACACGATAGCGTAAAAGAAAGGCAGAAAAGGATATACTCCATTTATTAAGAGAGAGAAAGAATAGGTACCGATGGGCAAGGAGGGTGGCTCTCCTTTGACCGCATATATACTCCATCATCACATTCTCCATACCTGATAATGAATTTGAGAGCGAAGTGATTGAAAAGTCGTGAAATTGGAACATATGTGAGCGCGAGTTGGAAGGAAGTGTGGTGCTTGATGCCACTCCATTTGGATATGGCTTTGGGCTTGGAATTGGATGCAGATGAACTACTCCATTTCGATTTCGGTTTGGAGATGTATAAAAGGGTGATAGGGGATTAGGGTAGCGCAGGGTTGAGAAAGCTACTATTCTGGTACAGCACATAACTTTGGTGGGCAATGTCGCCGCCGCCGCCGCAGCCATTGGATTCCAATTTGGATCGACCCGGTGCTTGTGTACAATGGGACCCGCCATCGATTCCAGGCAATGAAACTCTCTAGCGTCTCTTCGTACAATGGGACCCGCCAGCGTTTATGAAACATTGTCTGGTCCAAGAAAAAATAACTCAGCTGATAAAACATTGTTCTAGATGTCTATTAGTTTATAACTCAGTCCATATGTACCGGCACATCTGATTATTGTAACTCTAGCTCCCATCCTATATATACATCCTCATATGTGAATGAAAGTATGCGTTTTGATCTTGTTCATTATACGTTATCAGCACGATTCTCTCCAAAACTTAAACTCTTCATTATCCCCTTCTCTCCTCATCGCACCTCATACTATGGACTCCCATAGTGAAGCTTACGATGATGGCTACCGAACCATGACTTGTGAAGAAGATTACATAAGCGTACATACAATGAGAGGGGCATACTTTAATCACATCTTCACAGTTAAACATACATCGGAACAAGATAACATTGTCACACTGGATTTGATTGTTTCAAAGAACAGGTTTTATCTATCATCTCATCTATTAAATTCATTAATCGATCTCTTTCTTATACCTGAAATTTCATAACATTGAACAAATTATTGTTCCTATTTGTACATTTGTTTTTCTAAACGGATGATGTTGGATGGTATAAAAAGTATGATCTAATGATATACTAGGTATATAATACACAAATTTAATTATAATATACTATACCATGAAATTCAAGATATTAAAAATGAACTAAAGATGCAGTATTTTTCCCTGATTTCATGAAAAACAATATTCTAAAAAATAATGAATTAGTAAAGATTGAGGCATGTTCCAACTCATGATATATTATTCAAGCAAATATGAATATTACTACCTCCGTTCCTATTAAAACTTCCAAATAGGTTTGGCACAGAGTTTAAGATAGTGGGTATTGTGTGGTGGAGAGTTGTGCAGAGGAGAGAGAAATGTGTAAGAAATGTTGTGAACCACAAATTTTTTACTAAAAAGGAAAAGTGGAAGTTTTAATTGGAACGGATGAAAAAGGAAAGTTGGAAGTTTATTTAGGAACGGAGGGAGTACATATTATGTCTCTATATGTTTTCTAGCTAGCATAGAATTCACAAAAAAAAACTGAAACGTGTTTACATAATAATATAGTAACGTAACTATAATTATGACTAATCTTTTGGAGATACACTCTCTCAAATTAATACCTATTTTTTAGATAAACGGCTCAACAAGTAGCGGTTTGATTTTCGGCACAATACTGCACATGCTCCGGAATTGCATTGAATTGATAATTGTTATTATTTTTTATTTATCACTTTGTATTTATTTTACATTGGACATGATAACACAAATGCATGCATTATACGTCGATACATATTCAAGCAACTTTATGATAAGAGTTATCATAAACTGGTCATTATGAATATTCAAAAACTGATTGCTCAACTTTAACTCAGTATTTGTAATTTGTAATTTGACTTTTTATTAATATATTTATTACGCAGTATATCAATTGATCGAGATATTCATGGGTACTTTTGTGCTTATGTACTATTTTCCTTTGACTTATATACTGAAGAATTATCTTTATAAGTTGTTTTGTTGTTGATCTGATATATGTTCTAATATTAAATTAGCACTTTACTAAGTTCATTCACTAATTTTAAATTTGACTAAATGGACACCTAGAAAGATGTTTTTGGATGTGTTTGATAAGTATTTTGGGATGTAATAGAAATATAGAATTGATGAGATTCAAAGAATTTAATGATATTTATTAGCATTTGAAATATATAACTCCAGCGTATTTATTTAGTAGACATTATACAATATCGGTTACAAAAGAACATTTATTTACTCAATTAATGGAATGAATTAAATTTAGCTAGCATATAATAATATCAATAGAGTTTAAATTCAAACGTTTTTTTAGAATGTATCTTTGAGTGATGCCAAAAGATTAGGTGATACCATTAAAAATTATCAATACAACATTTAAATAAGATAAGGCTAAAACAATACAGAGTAATATTTTTCAGTCACCACCCCCCCCCCCCCCCCCCCCCAAGATTTGAAATGTCAATATTTAACTGCAGTTAAGGGACATGCTTAAGACTATAATTTTGAGACTGTAGTTGATTACAACTCTCTCAAGAGTTTTAGAAATATGAACTTTGCTGCTCTTAACTAGACATTTATGTTGAGTGTTAAAGTTTAGTATGAATAATATTTATTCATATGAGATTTAAATGGTTTTATGAATCTTACTAATTTATCTCAAATCGTAATTTAAGAAATTTATACATCATGATTGATTAGATACATATTTGATATAATCACAAATTGAATCTTATACTCCGTATGAGATATCAATTAAGTCTCGCTCCAGTAGTAGCATTTTCTAAAGTTGTTTTGAAATTTATTGTTTAATATGCTCTTAGAAGCATTTCATTAACTTGATCATGTATGATGGATATGCTTATCAATTTTTTAACATTTCATTGCCTTTCCCAATGCTTATTTGTATTATTATAAATATTATCTCATGTTACTTTGAGCTAATGTAAGCATTAAGAAAAATGCATTGGAGGCAGGGCCGATCCTAAGAGTTTTTTGGTCTGAGTCGAACTGTAAAAAAAACCTGAGGAATTTTTGGGGAGGAAAGTTCATGTCCGGAATTCCGGACAGGAACTGCCGTCCGGAAGGCGGTGTTGTAATTTTTTGATGAAATTTTTATTTCATGTTCCTCATCAAGTCTAGTTTATCCACAAAAAAATGAAGCTAAAAATTCGATCGTGAAGGCCGTCAAATGATTTTTGGAAGATAACCACGCCAAAATATACATATAAAACGCAATTAACTTCCAAAAATTATTTGATGGCCTTCCCGATTAAATTTTAAGCTGAAATTTTTTGTGGATAAACTAGACTTGATGAGGAAGATGGCATAAAAACTTCATCAAAGAATTTCATAGGAAAGGCAGCCAAATGCCACCGTCCGAATGGCGGTTCCTGTCCGGAATTCAGGACATGAACTTTCTTTTATATAAAGGTAACTAATAAATTTCTGGGCCCTAATTTTTTTTACAAATTTGTGGGCCTGAGGCAGTTGCCTCTTTGCCTCATCTAGAGGTTCTGCCCTGATTGGAGGTTACAGGTACGTGCCACATCTCTATTGGAAATATGGACATTTTTTTGTACATAATATGATTACATTTATATGAGAAACTTGATTGTTTGAATATTAATCAATAAGTTAATATGACTCATATAACTTCAATGTTGTATAAACATTCAAGGAAGTGATGTACTTTAAGAAAATGCATGATTAGCAAACATGATATGGATTTTAACTATATTTGAATCATAGTTAATATTGCTATGGATATGCAAATAATGCTTAGTAAATCACAAGTTATTGTAATTATGTATAATGATTAGCTCTAGTTAATCTACTCGAGAGAGGAAAAAATCAATAAAATTTCAGAAATGAAATATGAAATTATAGTCAAGTGCCAGAAGTCACTATAAGAGTATAAATTTGATATACAATTGGGTGTGTTGTGAACATGAAGTTCTCACGTCACTTACACATGAGATGGTGTGTGTTTACCAGCAGGGCCCGAAGCACTTACTTGTGGGCGTGTTTTAAAGCCGTGAGGTCCTGAAGTATCGAAGCGGACAATATTTTATTATATGCCAAGGTAAATTTTAAGAAATTCATTCAAGTGAATACTTTGAGACAAGTATTATAGTATTCCTTAACAAATTTGATTATCTGATAACTTGTATATACATTATCTAATCTTTAGACTCTATATACATTTATAGGTGAGTGATTCGTATTGTTTCTATAAAAGTAAGAAAGAAATCACTATATAAATGATTATTTTATAGACAAATTCTTTTGTCTTAGGGGTGATATAATGCTTGAAGCATGTATATACTTGTCGCATAGATTCCGAAAAATATTAACTTTTTGATAGAGTCATACACATTATAGATAAAAAGTAATGGAGCCACAAATTATATTTATAAACAAGTTGTGCACATAAATAATAATGATAAAATCTCAAGCATTGAGTGTAAGCTCAAAGAAGCTACTCAAACACTGCGAAGTAATAATTTAAAAAGTGATATAATACTTATTGGATGATAGTTTGAGACCATACCAACGCAAAATATATCAGCCTGTAGCAAAATTCTCCTCACACCATACTATATATACTTGAATAATTTAAACATGTGTTGCATGAAGTTTAAATTTTTGAATAAATGACCAATTTAAGGTCAACCCAGGTTTAAACCAAATGCCGTGTAAGACATCCAATATATAAATACTTATTAGATAAGAAAATGACAAGACCGTCTATTCTCCCAAACATTTTAAAAGTGGATCCATGGGAGTTAAGTGAACTTGAAGTTTTCAAAATTTTGACATGAATTTCCTATGAATATACAACTAACAACTGCGCATGCTAACTCTAAAAATCACATGTAACAACTACTGCTCGAATGCCCAATTCACTCCCCCATACTTAAATTTGGCATCGCCTTCGATGATCAAAAATGTACTATGCAAAGGGGGTAAAGATGAAAGTGTCACGCGTGCTCAAAATCAACTCAAGTCAACATTACAAAGCGAGTAAAAGAGGCATTGAAACTTCCCTATGGCGTTGGTCGATCCGGAACTAAACTGAGTCTTTGAACTCTCGGCACGTCATCCATTAAGCATTCTTTTGAGCTGCAACACTAACGAGCACTTTGTCACGGTGCGTCAAAATAAATTCAATACTAAACACTTATACGTAGTATAGGTGAAGTAGAGTTCGTATCTATAGGGAAAGGAATAATTCTCTTTTTATGAAACTTAGTAAATAAAAGGGGGGATTTGGATTGAGTGATTTAATTTCATTAAAAACTAAGATGAACGACCTATATGAGATTTAATTCAAAGATAAAAAGGACTTGACATTGCTACTTTCCACTTGTTGATATATTTTAGTCGATCATTGTTATATCTTTAACTTATTCCCTCTCGAATACTCAATCGGGGAGTATATCCACTTCATCGAGGATAGTTATTAACAACAACCGTTCATTAATAACCCTTACTATTAATCAAATATAGAACAACGTCTTATACCGATTTAATAGTAGCATTTAATCTTTCTAACTCCTTGATGAAATCAATTGAGATTGATAACCTCAACACAACGGTTTCGGTTTAACCAACAAAATTAATCCCTCTTAAGTTTATTAACCACGACCGTGCATTAATAAACTGAAGTTACTTACTTGTGAAACCATCAACGATTAACCATCGGTTCGTTGATCGTTTCTAGTAATAATTAATATATGAAACAAAACTAGTTGATCCTTTAAGTGATGTTCAAAATATTAATATGAAATATGAGTAGGGATTAATTAATATTCAAGGAAGAATATTATTAAAGAAGATGAATCCTATTATAATTAATATCAAGATGTTAACTAATTGTCATCTTAGCAACACTCCCCAATATTAATATAGAGGAAGAAAATACCATTCTAACTAATGTCGAGATGTTAACTAATTGTCATCTTAGCAACACTCCCCAACATTAATATAGAGATGGTATTAAGGAAAGAACTATTAATTAATATTCAAGGAAAGAAGTTAAGAAAATAACTCACAACTTTAATAATCAACAAGCTTCAAGAGCAACACCAAGAATGGAAGTTTAGCTCCTCATTTGGAGACTAAACATAGCTAGAAAAATATAAAGAAATGCTATTCTAAACTGAGCTTAAGAGTATGGAAGAAGGGATTATTTTTAGAGAAGAAAAAGTGTGCTATTTATAGGTGTTCTTCAACACCTTTGGCCGGGTACCCGACCGGGTCAAGTACTTACCCGACCGGGTCCAGTCAAAATCAGATAATCCGCCACGTTCTGGTGATCTTCGCACGTCGTTTTGTCTCGGGTCACATCTGACCCGACCGGGTCAAGTAGGGGACCCGATCGGGTCCAGTGACTTTCTTGGCAATTTCGTCTGTTAAATCCTACCCGACCGGGTGGGGGTTCTACCCGGTCGGGTTTCACTCCTGGGCAGTCAAATTTCTTGTTTTCTTCTCTTCAAATTCTTCATTTCCAACACCACAAATCGTAACTATACTTTACAACTTATAAATAAAGAATAAAATACAATTACAACTGAAATTACATAAATGTTTACAAACTAAATAAAATGTCAAACAATCAACATAAATCAAACATAAAAACATGCAATTATGCACTACTAATTAGTGTGCATCAATACCCCCACACTTAAACCTTTACTCGTCTCAAGTAAATCAAATCTGGTCCAAGAAGTCCTTAAAATGACAAGAATATCAACACACACATCCACGAGTGTTTTTAGAAACACATAAAGTATATCCCCAAAAATATAATAGTAAAGAGGGTCTTCAACTCCTAATATCTTTATCAACCTCAACTTTTTGTTTTCGTTACCCTTAGGATCCTGCAGAAATAAAAGAAAATACTTTCTCTCGTTCTCTCATTTTGCCTAGGTGCCCTTTCGGGTTTTGATCCCAGCTTCCCACATATTTCTGTTTTAATCCTCACAACTCACTCTTATTTTTGCTTTATTTTTGCTTAAGTTGCCCTTTCGGGTTTTCAACTTAACAATCTTTTATAATTTTTTTTTACAAGAATAAAGAGTATGAATGTGAGTATTCAATAAAACTCTCCCCCAAGCTAATCAAAGCACTGTCTCTAGTGCTTGTGTCTGAGATGAATGTTTTTTTTGTTACTTTTTGGGAGGTTTTGTTGGTGATTCGTGGGTGTGGAGATGAAAAGGGTGAAGAGGTGATGAATGAAATGGGTTTAATTAGTGGATGGATGTAGGAGATATGAAGCTTTTGACTTTTGGAAATGGAGGAAATTTGGGGTGTGGTTCGAATGGGAAGAAAAGAAAATAGAGAAGAAAAGCTGCCCGCCCGCACCCTTATCAGGCTTTTGCCCGACCGCCCGACCGGGTATAGTGACTGACCCGGTCGGGCGTAAGCTGTTCACCCGAGGCAGAGAGTTTTTTTGTTGGGTTGCCCGGCCGGGTATAGGGGTCTACCTGGTCGGGCGGTTGATTTATTCTTTGTTCTTCATCTGCCTCGCCCGGGCGGTTGGCCGGGTGCTGTGTTTTAAGAGGTAACCCGACCGGGTAGGGTTTTATACCCGGCCGGGTTCAATCCCAGGTCATTTTGTTTTTGTTTTTTTTTAAAATGTGTAAAAATAAAATAAAACAAGTAAACGTACCTTGCATGGGTTGCCTCCCAAGAAGCGCCTTATTTAACGTCGCGGCACGACGCCTTCATTGTGTTCAGTCATTCAAACTTGGATCATGATAGTTTATCTTTTTCACACTTTCACTCCTAGGACGTTCATAGGAGTGCTCAACTTCTCGACTCTTCAATTTGGGAATCTTTCCAGGATCAAATATCCAGATTGTCATTGATTCATGCGGTGGGAGGAAAGGGAAGAAATTATCGTTTACTATGGTCAATGAAAAGTTTTTCGATCCCTCAATTTTGAAGAGGATTTCAGAAATGTCATTGTCCTTTCCAAGTTTATGAGTTTCCCTCAAAATTTTTAGAATTGATGGGGGTACCTCAAAAGATGACAAGGATAGATATTTAACCTTGAAGCTCAGATTATCCTCTTCTTTGACCAGTTGGAGCTCCGTGTCTTTTTCTTCCTCTGGATTCTGGATCTCCTTTTGCATTTCCTCTTCATTTGTCAATGTGATTGCAAAAGTTTGTTGTCTAGGATCACATTCTAGTTGAGAAGGAGATTTTTCTGAATCCCTTGCTTCAAGCCTACTCATGACTCCGGATATTTGACTCATTTGAGTTTCCAAGTTCAAAATGCTAGACTTGGTCTCATTTTGGAATTGCACCATGTTTTGTTGCATGACGGTCACACTGTTAGTAAGAGCCCGAACCATGTCCTCTGTGGATATATTAGAGTTGGAGAATGGATCATACCTCATGTGAGGTACATCATCAATTTGTGCAAGGTATTCTTCTTGGAGCTTTGGGCAGAAGTCCGTAAGATGCCTGTGAGACATGCAAATGTTGCATTTCTTGGCATCTTGAGCTTTTGAGTTAAAGATAGATTCCTTTATTAGAGAAGTCAAGAAGGAAATTTGACTCTCTAAGTATGAAGTGTTGGTATCCATATACTCATAACTCATGTGAGCTCAGAAAATAGAAGAGCAGGATTATATATATATATATATATATATATATATATATATATATATATATATATATATATATATATATTTTATGAGATAAAATAAAAAGAAAAGTAATTGCCTTTCCCCGGAAACGGCGCCAAATTTGACGAGCACTTTGTCACGGTGCGTCAAAATAAATTCAATACTAAACACTTATACGTAGTATAGGTGAAGTAGAGTTCGTATCCACAGGGAAAGGAATAATTCTCTTTTTATGAAACTTAGTAAATAAAAGGGGGGATTTGGATTGAGTGATTTAATTTAGTTAAAAACTAAGATGAACGACCTATATGAGATTTAATTCGAAGATAAAAAGGACTTGGCATTGCTACTTTCCACTTGTTGATATATTTTAGTCGATCATTGTTATATCTATAACTTATTCCCTCTCGAATACTCAATCGGGGAGTATATCCACTTCATCGAGGATAGTTATTAACAACAACCGTTCATTAATAACCCTTACTATTAATCAAATATAGAACAACGCCTTATACCGATTTAATAGTAGCATTTAATCTTTCTAACTCCTTGATGAAATCAATTGAGATTGATAACCTCAACACAACGGTTTCGGTTTAACCAACAAAATTAATCCCTCTTAAGTTTATTAACCACGACCGTGCATTAATAAACCGAAGTTACTTACTTGTGAAACCATCAACGATTAACCATCGGTTCGTTGATCGTTTCTAGTAATAATTAATATATGAAACAAAACTAGTTGATCCTTTAAGTGATGTTCAAAATATTAATATGAAATATGAGTAGGGATTAATTAATATTCAAGGAAGAATATTATTAAAGAAGATGAATCCTACTATAATTAATATCAAGATGTTAACTAATTGTCATCTTAGCAACACTCCCCAATATTAATATAGAGGAAGAAAATACCATTCTAACTAATGTCGAGATGTTAACTAATTGTCATCTTAGCAACACTCACCGACATTAATATAGAGATGGTATTAAGGAAAGAACTATTAATTAATATTCAAGGAAAGAAGTTAAGAAAATAACTCACAACTTTAATAATCAACAAGCTTCAAGAGCAACACCAAGAATGGAAGTTTAGCTCCTCATTTGGAGACTAAACATAGCTAGAAAAATATAAAGAAATGCTATTCTAAACTGAGCTTAAGAGTATGGAAGAAGGGATTATTTTTAGAGAAGAAAAAGTGTGCTATTTATAGGTGTTCTTCAACACCTTTGGCCGGGTACCCGACCGGGTCAAGTACTTACCCGACCGGGTCCGGTTAAAATCAGATAATCCGCCACATTCTGGTGATCTTCGCATGTCGTTTTGTCCCGGGTCACATCTGACCCGACCGGGTCAAGTAGGGGACCCGACCGGGTCCAGTGACTTTCTTGGCAATTTCGTCTGTTAAATCCTACCCGACCGGGTGGGGGTTTCTACCCGGTCGGGTTTCACTCCTGGGCAGTCAAATTTCTTGTTTTCTTCTC